CTACCCCCACACCCCTCTTTTGTTCCCTATGAATGCTGCTATCTCGCGTCCAATGTCTTTTCTCCTCCCTTTCTTTTATATTCGCCATTCTCACAACCGTATAATATTATATTAAGCATCATTATCACTCCAACCCCATCCCCTCCCTCCCCGCGTAGGACCTTTGGACTTCGAGAGCAGCAAGTTGGACTCCGCCTTGAACCTGCTGAATGGTCTTTCACAAGAGGCACAGGAACTTTCGGGTGAGCAGGCTCCGTGGTGTTTATCTTTTCACTTATTTACTCTTTCATTTTTCAGTCTGTCAGTCTGTCTGTCTGTCTGTCTGTCTGTCTGTCTGTCAATTTAACCTTTATCGTTTATCAGTTAATATGTTCATTCATTCATATACAGAACCCAGTATCCTAACTTTAATTTTACCTTTATATTAGCTTGTTATTTCTACTGTTCTTGAAGGAGGGAAATGACTTTCGTAGTGTTTACCGTTTATTGTTGTACCGTACCTCGCTTGAGTGACTTTCATTTCATGGAGGGTGTCTATATTTTTTACACTTACAGCAACATAACCCAGGATAGAAGTTGCAGGTTATTTATGAGATCTGCGAGGTAAACTAGAATAAACGCTCTAATAAAAACGATATTTTAAAATATTTAATTTTTACTTTCTTTTTCTTTTTGTTGCTCTGCTTAACGTTTTTTTGTTGTTGTTTTTTTTGGGAGGTAGCACAAAATGAATATCTGATTTTTACACTTACACTCAGCTGACTGCACACAACTGAGCAAAAAAAAGAAAAAGAAAAAATAGAAACACTACCACACATTATAATTATGAGATACATATTATTATGTTCTCGCAGATACATGCTCTCTCTTACATAAACACACACGCTCACACACACACACACACACACACACACACACACACACACACACACACACACACACACACACACACACCCTCACACACTAGAGCATAGAGATTCAAACACGCATAGATTGATGAACAGACAGGCTGCATTGTTAAAATCATCGTTACTCATACAATGATGGGAATTTTCCCCCACTCTTATCTTCAGCTGCTGGAAAGCCCTTGACCGACGTGATGTCAGCAATCGAAATGACGGCTGGGGCAATTGAGGACATTACAGAGGATGCTGGTATGTGATTCACTAAGTTTTAGTTCGAGGTTTACGGCACGTGGAACACAGTTAGGTCGTATAAGTGGCGCTGGTAAGTGCGTCATGGTGAAGACCTCTTCAAAAGCTAAGTAATCTGCACTCGAATAGACTGTCGGGAAACTGTGAAGAAACAATGTTCATTCAAGAGAGAGAGAGAGGGGG